TTAAGTTCCATGAAGACACAAGGGCAGGACAGGGGACCCTGTCACTTAATGCAGTATTTGGGAGGGAGATGTATTGGGAAGAACCTCTCTGCAATGGTTCTCAACCCTGGCAGCACATGAAATTTCTGGGGGTGAGGTGAGAACCAGGCACCAGTAACCTTTAAAGCTCCATTTCAAGGTGCAACCAAGTTTGAGAGCCAGTGCTAAGTTTAGAGGACTTCGTGCGGGGGTGGCCATACATGTCCTAGTCCGGCAGATGTTTCTGGTGAGCCTCCCTCTCCCTTCTTCCAACACAGCAGGTGCACAGAGCTGTGGACTGGAACCTTGAACCATCACCAGTGAGGAACATCTGATGCAGGATATATATTTACTCCTAAGCTCTGCAGTATGAATCCTGAGGCAGGTTTCTCCAGCCTTTAAGCTGTGCTGTGCTTTCAGAACCCCTCCCCTTCAGAATTAGAGAACCTAGGAAGGAATGAAAGGCAAGGCTATTTCCTTTTGATGCGTTGCAGTAAAGAGCAAATGATAGAAATGCACAGAAAAGGTATGTGAGTACCCCCCTCTCTCCTCTATTTACAAGATTGGTTGTTTTGGAGGCAGAAGGCTCTGTTGAGACTGAGGAGAGGGGAGACAATGCTGGAAACTGTGATGCATGGTGGTGGCTCACCTTTCTTACTGTGTTTATTTTCCCCGTGTACATGGCCACCGAATGACTGACTTGATAAAATGTTGCCTCAGGTTTTGGTTTGTTTCATTTTCTTCAATCCTGATAGCTGGCCTAAACATTGTGAGGTTGCAATGCAAATTACATGCACGATGGCTTTGAGTGGTTCTGTGGTCTGGGACCAATCACTGTCAAAAGTGCAGTGGGACCAAGAAACAAAAACCCAACTAAATCCTGCCAGAGCAGAAAGGTGGGGATAGGAAGCGACCTTGCTGGCTCTCCCTGCAGTGGGCATTGCCACCAGAGGTGACTGGGAGCAACCTGGTGTGGATTTCTCGGTCTGGGTCATGTGTTTTGGTCTTCCCCTCATAAGCACTATCTCTTTTTAGTCAGAAAGCCAACATTTGGTAAGGGATGGTGATGGCAAGCTCTTCTGACCCCAGTCCATTCCTCTGCCTTTTGCCCTGTCCCAGTAGCCCAAGGAGGGCATCAGCCGCCTCTGAGAGGGCTGTGGTGGTGGAGCCAGCCTCACTCCTCTCGTCACACACTCTGAGTCAAGCAAGAGAAGTGGCACCATCGATCCTTCATATGTGCCCAGCGTGTGCTTTACACACATCATCACATTTGTCCTTACAGCCCCTCTGACAGACCTCATCACCCCTCTCTTCCAGACAGGGAAACTCAGCTGTGGCTACAAGGCTAATGATGATGCAAGGACTTGAACCCAGTCAAATGGCTGCAAAGTGGGTTTTCCTTCCCTTGGATCTCTCTCTCTCTCTTTTCCTGGAGCAAGGAGTGTCAGCCTGAGGAAACCTCAGTGAGGTACACTGCAGTCAGTCACCTTCACAGATCAAATGCTGTTTTCTCTCAGGGACAATCTGGTGGACGTCTGCACCTCGGCCTTCTTGTGGCCATTGTCGAGCACTGTGTGCAGGCAGTCCTGGCAAGGCTGGCTTGGTTATTAATCCGTACAGTCACTGAGGTGTGGGTAGCAGGCCTCAAAGTTTCACGTTTTGATCCTTACTTGTGTTCTGGGAGGTGTCACCTTCTCTGTTGGGCCCTGGGTTTGGCTGTGAATGTGCAAAATATTTCTAATGCTAAAACATTTCTAATGCTAAAAGTGTGGAGGAATGAGTCTAGTTGAGATTCCAGATGCATAAATTTGGTCTCTTGGCAGCTAGATTGCACTTTCTAGAGCTCAGGGGGTTATAAAAGTTGACATCTTTATATAGATCTATGTGCAGCGTGGCCGAATTGCAGTTGCTTTTGGAGCTATAACTTTGAGTTACCTGACTTTTTGTTTTAAAAAGAAGGATGCATTCACGTAGGTGTTGGCTTATTTGGAAAGCAGGGCAAGGAAGGCACAGGAATGAAAAGGGATTTTGGAAAACAGAGAACAGCCCTCGTTTGACTCCTCTGGTGGTCTCACTGAGAAGTCTTACCAAGATGGTGCCGTCCCACAGCTTGAGGACAAGAATCCCCAGCCCGCAGAAGTAGGGCTCCCCTTTGGAGGACAAGCAGGGCTGGGCCTAGACATTTGGGTGCTGTGGGCTGGATTCCAAAGGATGATCTTTAAACATTTTGTTCAACAACTCTTTCATGGGCGAGGATAAACTGATGTTGTGTCAAGAAAAACTGTATGCCTCTCTAACTTCAAAATAGGAAATTTATTACATGAATTTATTACAGGAGATTTTCCAAGTCAGACAGCTACTCGGAGGTATATTGAATGATTTAAAATTTAGTTCATAAAGTCAGTCACTCCTTCTCGGTGAGTAGCATTATGTGTGCCTAACAGTTTCAGACCTGTGTCTCCTGGCACCCAACTTGCCAGATCTCCCCTCTGGTTGGTCTCAGCGTTGGTGGAAGGGCCGGTGGCTGCATCGTGCAGCATTCCCACCTGCGTTGCATGATGTGCTCAACGGAGATGGGGTCACACCAGCTGGAGAGGGAAACCTAAGTTAATTTACTCCCGTTTCCACTCTTCCCAAGGACGTTTTATCGCTTTTACGGACTGCCCTCCAGAGTTGCTTGGCTCATTCCCCTTAATCTATGGTTACAGATTCAGACTAAAAAAGATTGAAATCCTTTGAGTAGGGTTTCTCCCTTTGGCATTATTGGCATTTGGGGCTGGAAAATTTTTTGTTCTAGGGGCTGTCTTGTGCATTGTAGGGTTTTAGCAGCATCCCTGACTTCCACCCACTAGGTACGATTGACAGCTGCCCCCACCCTCACCCCCATCACAATTGTCACAGACAGCAATGTTTCCAGTCATACCTGGGGAGCAAAAGTTTCCCCATTGAGAATCCCTGCTTTAGGAAAAGGAAGGAAGGGGTCTTAACATCTTTGTGGGTGCTGAAACCCCAGAAGACCTTTTTCTACAGGGCTGGGTTTTAAATTAGTTCCCAAAGCGTGAAAAGGCAGTCTCAATTTCTAGCCAGTTGACTACAGTGAAGCTTTTAAGCAGTTTAATTTCAGAAAGATATGTTTGATGCTTTTTACTAAGATGAGGCATTAGAAGACTAGAAATAGCTGTTTGGGTTTTTTTTTTTTTTTTTAATCGGCAAATCAAGGGAGGTTCCAGAAAGGCTCTTTGACTTTTTCAGGAAATACTTTTCTGAGCAGGGTCTCTGACCTACCATGCTTATGGTTCTTGTGAGACTGGACTCCTGCTCTGGCATTTCTTCATGGAGTGGGCAGTACTGAGGGTCGTGGCTGGGCCTTGTGTGCAGCAGATGGGAATAAATGGGCAGGAGCGAGGTTCCTGTCCCCAGGACGTCCCCAGCCTCCTCTAGGCAGGAGCCTCCAACACTTCAGCAGGAGGGGCGGTGCAAGTGAGGTAAACATGAGTTGAAACAGTTCTGCTGGGTTTGGAATGACGGTTCTGGGGCCACGGTTTTCGAGGTGTACTCTTTTAGCAGCTGATGTTACTTTTTCTTCAAATGACATGTGCAAAAACACAATATAAATAAAAAATGTCAGACCCAAGTTTGAAGGCAGAGTGAAAGAGGGGACCTGTACCCCACACACCTCATCTCACCTTGGAGCTGACACTTCCAAAGACAATGCGCTTTGCATCACCCATCTGACTGAAAGTGGGCTAATGCGTGGTTGGATAATCTTGTTTTTTTTCTCCCCCTGACTAGATCTATCATCTTTTTTCTATTTTAGATAAAAGTAGTTTTCAAAACTACAAACCTAAGTGAAGATTATCATGCTGTTCCATTGCTGTGTAATTTTTACTCTCAATCTATGGAAGCAGATTCAGGGGCTGAGAAAATATATATGTATGTACATACATACATATACATATTCGTTAGGAGTATTTTGATATTTTGTTTTGAAAAACTTAAATATATAGAAAAATAGAGAAAAGAGCCCAACCCCTAGATTTAACAGTTGTCATTCTTTTGTCATATTTGCTTCACCTATTTCTTTAAACCTCTACTGGATAAGAATTTTAAAGAACATACCTACCTTAACAAGGTCTGGGAATATTTCCACCACATTCCCCTTACCCCCACCCCATTCCCTATTCCAGTTCATCTTGCAGACCTGTGTAATTTTTTTTTTTTTTTTTTGCGGTACACGGGCCTCTCACTGTTGTGGCCTCTCCCATTGTGGAGCACAGGCTCTGGACGCGCAGGCTCAGTGGCCATGGCTCACGGGCCTAACCGCTCCGCGGCATGTGGGATCTTCCCGGACCGGGGCACGAACCCGTGTCCCCTGCATCGGCAGGCGGACTCCCAACGACTGCGCCACCAGGGAAGCCCTGATAATGCTTTTTAATGGGCCTTCCTAAGTAGACTACAGCATGATTCACATAATGGGATAAATGGAATATAATGAGTCTAAAAGAGCTACCAGTCCCCAGTTATATATAGAAGCACAGGTTTGTTTTCCAGTGAGGATCATACCAAAGCAGGCAAATATTCTTCTTGAATTTTGTGATTGCTTCTAAAATGAACTACGTTTATGAATTAGCTTCTTGGCCCCCCAAATATGTTTATGCTGACAAAAATGGAAGTACCCAATTTTGTACAATGTAGTTCAGCTATTACTTGCATACATGGTGGGTGGTGCTGTGCAAAAGACTTATGTCGAGTTTCTCATCATTAAACATGCCCTGGGAAAGGTGAGGGTGGGTTTCGATAACATCTCTCTTCCCAGAATAAATTGCTTCTTCCCTTACTTTGCAAATTGGTAAAAATATTATAGGTTGATAAATATTTTTGCAGTGTGATTGCTTTTCAAAATTGAATTGCAAAGCTTATGCCTACGTTGGGAGAGGGGATATTTACAATGGCCTATACCTGATTTTCCCCCTCTTTGGCAGGAAATAACCACATGTTTACCAGATTACTACAAATGGACTCAGTATCTCTTTATTAAACTCTATGAAGCTGGACTGGCCTATCAGAAAGAGGTAAGTTAAAGTTAGCTCTGCTTTTAAGATTCTGTAAACCTTCTCCATCTTCTTAGAAGACATCATTGTTAAATAAGGAATAAAATAAACCCTGTTTGCACAGTAGCAGTGAAAATGAACACAACCTCACATTCATGAAATCAATCACAGCGGGCCCAGAGAGTAACTACTGTCTGGCTTAGTTTGGTGCCTCCAGGACAGGGCTTGAGTTTCTTTCACCCTTGAATTCCCAGCACATAACAATGTCTGTAATGAAGTCAAGGAGGAGGCTTAGGAGGAACACGTTTCTCAAATCCTAGCTACCCCTCGTAGATGTGTGCCGGCAGGTGACAACCTTTAGGAATCATGGTTTCTCATCTGCTGATGGGTGATAATATCTTCCTTGCCGGGTCTTGGGAAGAGAAAGGTAATATTTAAAGAACAGCAAGCACAGTGCCCACACCTAGTGGCCTCCCAAGAAATGGAATGCTTCTTAAAACAGGAGGTCAGTAATAGCAGATAAGCCTTAGATGGCGGGAGTTGAGAGAAAGAGTATCATCACATGGCCTAGAACTGCACTGTCCAGTATGATGATAGCCATTAGCAGCATGTGGTTGTTGAAATTTAAATTTAAAGTAATTAAGATTAAATAATATTAAAAATTCAGGTCCTCAGTCATACTAGCCACATTCACGTGCTGGTAGCTAGTGTTGGACAGCAAAGATATAAAACATTCCCATCATAACAGAATATGCTTCCACATAAGAAAAGTACCAGATAGCACTGGTCTACAAAATTCAGAAGTACCAAGTAGAAAACTCATTGTACCATTATACTTTAGATGTTCTCCTTTGACCAGAGGGATTTAATGACATAGAACTATATTTACTTTTCTGTGGGTCACATCACATTGCTTCGTCTTGCAAAGAATAGTACTTATAATATCATTATTTTTTAAATATAAAACATTTTACAATCAGTATAGAGACTCATATAGAAGGCTCAGTTTAGAATATGAGAATAACACAAAATGTCTTAAACCTTGACAACATAAAAAATAACATAGCTAACAAAAATCAGGAGGTGAGGGCTTCCCTGGTGGCGCAGTGGTTGAGAATCTGCCTGCTAATGCAGGGGACACGGGTTCGAGCCCTGGTCTGGGAGGATCCCACATGCCGCGGAGCAGCTGGGCCCGTGAGCCACAACTACTGAGCCTGCGCGTCTGGAGCCTGTGCTCCGCAACAAGAGAGGCCGCGACAGTGAGAGGCCCGCGCGCTGCAATGAAGAGTGGCGCCCGCTTGCCACAACTAGAGAAAGCCCTCGCACAGAAACGAAGACCCAACACAGCGAAAATAAATAAAGTAAATTAATAAACTCCTACCCCCAACATCTAAAAAAAAAAAAAAAAAATCAGGAGGTGAAATTGGGGAAGAGAAGTAGAAGCAAGCGTGAGATGATCCCTACATCTTTCATAACAAGGAGTCATAGATGGAGAATTAGAGATTTATGTCTTTTTTTTTTTAAGTTGAAAGGTAGCTATTAAAGCTAAGGTTAACAAAGGTAGCAAAAACTAGAATAGGGGTCAGGTGGGAGGAAGGCTGTATGACTGTGCTGAATATCTCATATTATATGGTAGAGGGTCAGCAGAACTGTCTAAAGATAGTATATCAGGGACTTCCCTGGTGGTGCAGTGGTTAAGAATCCGCCTGCCAATGCAGGGGACATGGGTTTGATCCCTGGTCCGGGAAGATCCCACATGCCGTGGAGCAACTAAACCCATGTGCCACAACTACTGAGCCTGCACTCTATAGCCCACATGCCACAACTGTTGAGCCCGTGTGCCGCAACTACTAAAGCCCATGTGCCTAGAGCCTGTGCTCCACAACAAGAGAAGCCACCACAAGGAGAAGCCCGCACACTGCAACAGAGAGTAGCCCCCGCTCACCACAACTAGAGAAGCCTGCACGCAGCAACGAAGACCTAATGCAGCCAAAAAAAATAAACAAAATTAAATCTTATTTAAAAAAAAAAAAAGAATATGCCTGCCAATGCAGGGGACATGGGTTCGATCCCTGGTCCGGGAAGATCCCACATGCAGTGGAGCAGCTAAGCCTGTGTGCCACAATTACTGAGCCTGTGCTCTAGAGCCCATGAGCCACAACTACTGAGCCTATGTGCCACAACTACTGAAGCCCGTGTGCCTAGAGCCCATGCTCTGTAACGAGAGAAGCCGCCACAGGTAGAAAAAGCCCACACTCAACAATGAAGACCCAACGCAGCCAAAAATAATAATTATAATAAAAAAATAAAAATAAAGACAGTATATCACACTTGAGGTAGTACAATTTTATTACTTAAAGTTATAATAGTAAATACCAGAAGAACTAATTAACAGAATCTGCTAAAAGTGGAGAAGTATTTTAATAACCATTGCAGATAATTATGAATATTCTCCTTTGATACTACACCAAAACTCAACAAGTGGTGGGTTCTTAAAGGTCAGTTGCAATGTTGAATCTAAATATCAATGAACTTTTTGTACTCTATTAAAATGTGTTGGCCTATTTTACACTTTGAATGAACGTTGTACCCATGCATTATTATTATAATGAAAATAGTTTTGACCTGCAGACCCCTTGCAGGGGTCTCAGGGACCCCAGAGGTTTATGGACCACACTGTGAGAACCACTGTACGGCATATACAATCCCTAACCCACTCTCATCTTTAAATTAAGGATATTAAAATATTGGTTGTTTAAAATATTATGTTGTTATGTTTGTTTTTTTAAAGAGACTGTTCCGTCCCCATTGACATCTGGGATAAATTGAGAGTGAGAACTTTGTGGAACTGAGTCATACTGATGTTTAACCACTGTAGAGCCTCCTGGGTCAATTTAATTTCTTAACACACCATAGCTGTTCCTATGCTCAGAGCCCCGTTAGGTGAGGAGTGGTGAGAGACGAGTACCTGTCCGAAGTGCTGACTGCAACAGACCTTTTGTGTTGTTAAAGCATTATTTTCAGAAGTTAAAAATATGACTCCCATACAAATATAAAATGAACATGTGTCAAGGATTTTATTCAACTCATTAATTAGTGAGAGAACCATTTGTATGTTAAGACTGGTTCAAATGAGATTTCAAGGAAGGGTGGTTTATAGGGTCACAGGCGTGCTGAAATGAATTTACTAATAGAATCAAAACTGCTTAATGTCCGTCCTACGAGGCATAAACCTAATTCTGGGGACAATCTTTTCTGTGAGACAGAAATCATTGGCATTGTCTTTGCATGGGAGCCCTTTGCATCGCTCTCAGACATAAAGCGTTTGTGTAGCTCTGAGTTTTCTGCAAGTTAACCTCTTCTTTTCACCTAGCAGGGCTGTAAAATAACTTAAACAATAGTGAATAGGGAGTCAAACAAAGGTACACATCCCTAGAAAATCAGATAATCCCTGGGGGATGTGGGTCTGCTAGCCAATCCCAGCCTACACTGAAGGAGCAATCCCTTTTGCCTGTTTCTAAGTTTTGGATAATTTTTCTTAGCAGCATTATTCAATATCCAAAAGCAAAAGGGTAGGAAGAGAATTGCTGGGAAAATCATCAGATTTCCACTCTGATCAACAGGTTCAGTGCTGATCTAACAGCCTGGCAGACACCTTCCCAGAAGAGCCTCCCTTGCTCAGGTGGATTATAATTATACCCAAAAGGGGTTTCTACACTGGAATCACCCATGGGTCCAGGCAGAGGGAGTAAGAGATCATGAGCTACATTGTGTATTCCAAGTGATAGCAGGAAGGACAAACAAAAATTGAAGTTATAAGACATGAAAAAGCCACAGCAAAGCAAAGGGCGTCCTGCAGGTAAAACACAGGAAAGAGCGAACAGTTCTTTAAAGAGTGTAAGCAGTCGTGCACAGCATCAATTAGATTAGCCAGTGTTGCCTATCCTCAGTTGCATAGTTACTATTTATATGCATGGGGTATGAAATGATGTGACATGTTAATGTAATAGTGTAAACATTTCTTGCATGGAGCCCTTGGTTGTGTAATATCCCTTTACAAGACACTTGATTTTTTTGTATCTATTTATTGTATAGTTAAGCTGACTTTTTGAATATATTGAATGTTTATTATAACATTTCTTCATAGGACACTTGCTTCTCTGTCTCCGCACCCCGGGTTTGTTCATGCTGCTTCAGTTCTAAGCACATCAAACCCAAGTAGGAAGCTTAATCTCATCACTATTGGGTTGGATCCAAAGCCAATCACAGACAGCATCTTCGGAGCTGAGTAACTTTTCTGATGATGGAAGGGGTTTCTGGGGCCCCCCATTGCACAAGGATGACCATGCTACTGGCTCCAGATGTCTCTCTTCTCCCCAGTTGTTTCCAAGTCAGTGTGACACTCCGCCCCCCAGCCTCACAATCTGCATACCCCTGGGGAATTTGGTCCAGTTTTCCCTCTGACTACTTCTCTCATGGGAACACACTGTTCCTTTCCTGTTGCTGCTGCTGTAACAAATTACCACCAACTGGGTCGCTTAAAACAGCACAGATTCATTGTCTTACATGTCCATGAAATAGGTCTCACTGGGATAAAAATCAAGATGTTGGCAGAGCTGCCTTCACTCTGAAGGCGCTAGAGGAGAATCTCTTTCCCTGCCTTGTCCAGCTTCTGGAGGCTGCTTCTGTCATTGACTTTGGACTGCTCTCCAACTTCAAAGCCAGAGCGTAGCATCTTGAAATCTCTCTGACCTGTGCTTCCATCATCACCTCTCCTTCTCAGACTCTGAATCTTCTGCCTTCCTCTTTCTCTTATAAGAGCTTTTGTCATTACTTTGGGCCCATCTGGTTAATCCAGGTTAATCTCCCCATCTCGAAACCCTTCATTAATCATATCTTCAAAGACCCTTTTGCCATGTAGGTAACATATTCACTGGTTGCAAGTGACATGGGCATCTGGATTCTGGATGACATAGGATGTGGACATCTTTGGGGTGCAATTGTTCTGCCTACCACCCTCT